GAAACGGCTCAAGAAGGCGACCCCGGGTATTCGTCAGAACGTCACCCCAAAGAGAATGACGACAATTGAAGTCACCCAGCAGGAGCACAGGCTCCGGCAAGGAGTCTAGGTGGTGTTTCAAATCAGGAAGAGAAAGCGGGACACTCGGGGGGAGATAAATGGAACAAACTGTGTACCATTTCCCCACAAAGATACGAGCAGCAGAACAATGGAGAGGCGAAGGAAAAAGTAAAGGAACAAAGGGAACATCAGCCCGAATCAAAAGAGCAGAAGAATTAGAAGCCCCAGCAATGGCTGGGGGGGGGGAGAGAAAGGAATAGCCACGAAAACGACCAGGATGAGCACCAAGCATCGGCTCCTGGAGACAGACACAAAGGGGCGAAAACCGCAAAATCAGAAGTTGGAGTTCGAGGAAATTGGCGTAATAACCTCGAACGTTCCATTGAAGAATGGACAACGACGAGAAGAGAAAGGACAAAAACAGAGAACAAGGAAGAAACAAAGGCGAAAGAGCAACAGAGCACGTTAAAGAATATCAGGGTCGGGATCAGGGTCAGCAAAGTCAGGGTTAGGGGGCATGGGTAAACTGAGCAAAGACGGAGGGAAGGAAACGGGAGAACAGATCAGAGGTGGGCGGGCAGGGTCCGGAGGAGGAGGAGGAGGAGGAGGAGGAGGAGAAGGAGGAGAAGGAGGAGGAGGAGGAAGGAGGAGGAGACGATGGAGAGGAGCAGTCAAGGACAGCAGCAGGAAGAGGGGGAGTAGAAAGAGGGGAGCGCACCTCAGCAAGAGCAGCAACCGAAAGGGAAGCAGGGGCCAAAGAAACCTCCACAGCAGGAACAGGGGGCGCAATCACTGAAATGGGAGGGGAAGGAGCAACAGAGCCAGAAGTAGGAGCTGAGGAAGAAAGCGAAGCCTTCTTACCCGCCAGGGAGGAGGAAGGAGAGGAGCCAGGCTTATGCTTCTGACTTAAAGAGACTGGTGTCCCAGCAACTACGTACCGGGCAACGGATTCCAGTGTCTCAACAGTAGAAGCTGAACGAGAGCACACACGACGGCCGTTAGGAGAGCGATGGACATCCGGCTGCACCGACAGGCGGCGGGGAGAGCCGATAGATGGAGGAAGAGGATGGGAAAGAGGATCGGAGGGAGACGAGGAAGAAGACACATGAGACATGACAGACCGGGTAGAAAGAAGGGGAACCCCAAACAGAGGACCAGGAGGGGGGACCCCTCGGGACAGAACGCAAAGGAACAGAGGAGGGGGCAGTGGGCGTATCAGGGTCCAAGGCCCAGAAACGGTTGAGAGTCTGAGGAAGGAGGGAAGGACGAGGAGAGGAAGAGTGCAACACGTGAGCATAAGAGACGTTAGTATAAGGCGAGAGCCGGCGAACCTGGCGCCTCGCCTCAGGAAAAGATAAACGCTCCCGGTGCTTTAGGTTGAGGACGGCTGCCTCAAGCTTGTAATGGACACAGGCAATGGAGAAGGTAGGATGGGCCTCACCGCAGTTGAGGCAGCGAGCTTGAGGAGAAGTGCACTCCGACTTAGAGTGACCTTCACCCCCACACAAAGGACAGAGAGACAGTCCCAGAGCAGCGGAGGGCACCATGCCCAAACCTCCAGCACTTGTTACAAAGTCGAGGAGAAGGAATATACTCCTAGACAGAGCACCTAGCACCAGCAAGAATGACAGAGGATGGAAGGGTCCTACCATCAAAGGTGATCTTTACAACGCGAAGGGGTTGACGGCGACGACCACGAGGGGGACGAGTAAACGAGTCAACCTGGAGGACAGAATGGCCTTGGGCATCAAGAATATGCCGAATATCATCGTGGCAATCCTGCAGATTCCAAACACCAGTCGCAACATGGGGTGGGAGGAGAATAGTGCCAACACTGGCATTCATCCGAACGTTCTTGGAGACCCGAACAGGGATCTCACCAAGGCAAGATAAGGCAGCCAAGCGGGAAGCTGCATCTTGAGAAGGAGCAGCAACGACACGTGTACCGAGACGAGTGGGGTTGAAAGTAACAGACGCATCCAAGGAATCTACAAGATGCCGATGGAGAGAGAAATCGTTAGGAGGCGCAGAATCAAGAGGGAGGAGATCAAAGTATTTGGCCCATGAAGCAGGCCTGATACGCGTCGGCTCGGGAAGGAATCGAGCGAGTGCGGCTGGGGCGCGAACGACGTTGAGAACCCCCAGAGAGAGAGAGGGGTCAAAAGGCGCAGTAGTTACAACGAGAGACTTAGCCCCACCAGGGGACGAAGTGGTCACCACTGGGGGCTGGAGGCTCGACCCAACCACAGAGGAGGGAGGGGAGCTGGGGGAAGAAGTCAGGATGGTCAAAGGAGGAGCAATGTTGGGGCCCAACGCAGCGGGAGCTACAGAGCCTGGTCTTCCAATACAGGCCAACTCGGGGGCTTGGTCGCCCACCCCACGAGCCTGAGAGGGTACAACGGAAACATTCATCGACATAGAGACGAAGAGAAAAATTCATCCACGAATGTGCCCCCATACCCACCATGGAGCCACAATTAGAGGCAGGACACACAACAGGAAGCTATCGCCGATCATGCCGGGGCCCCCTAGGGGTGCGTCGTGAGTATACGCCCCACAAACGCCACCTTAAGAACCGTCAGTCCGTCGAGATCGGGTTCAGTGACGAAAGGGGGATTGAAAATAAAAGGTTCCCCTCGCTCGAGACGTCGGGTACAACAGTTCTACAGGTGCAAGAGTATGCCTCCCCAAGCACCCGGGCGTCAAAATAGAAGAAGTCCAAAGAAATAATCCAAAACAAGCAAAAGGTCGGCAGGAAACGACAAGCAGATAGGAGAAGAGGGGGGAGAAAAACGAAACATAATGAAAAGGAAAAGCGATCCGGCATAATTAGAGAAGACAGCAGCAGGAGTGCAAGGCCATAAAAGGACAGGACTGTCCCACGGAGCATCACACTCCAGCAGCCGACCACGAAGCCCCCTCACGACGCCAATGGGCCGGAGGGGGCCCTAAGGACTAACTCGACCTTGCTCCCAGGCCCTGCACAGTTGCTCTCTGTTGATTTTCTCTGCCGATTCCGACAGCTTCGTGAAGCATCTGCCACATGTTCATTGGCGACGTACGCATTGCAGTCGGGAAAGCAAAAATAGAAAACCTCACACCTAGCAGTCAATGATTCCCAAGACTTAGTCAACTGTTGAGGGAATACATCTTAGTGAAGGGCAATAGCTTGACTGTGTGGGGCAGGGACCTCGATATAGGCCTAAACTGTGTGTGTGTGTACTTCCCTAGTTGTGCTTGAAGGGGATGAGCTCTGGCTCTTTGGTCAATACACACACACGCACGCACGCTGCCTGTCCCCGACAAAAAAATAAATATTAAATAACAGAAGAAGCCCCAAACAAAACAACCCAGCATCCATGAACACACACATCCTTCAAGTCATCACCTCAGAGATGCACTCACCATAACACCATAGCTTTGTTGTCCACTCGTAAAGCGCAGGTGGCAGGTGGCTCTCATCGGCACTACGTACTAGGCAGGTGTTTAGTGTAGGCCTACAAGTTACAGCCTAATGGGGGCAGCTACGCTAAATTATCTAACTACTGACTCACCAGCCATGAGATTAACATAGATAAACATCAAAACAGAACTAATAATGTTGAAATCAGGGCACATTAACATCAGCCAACTCAAGCGATGTTTAAATACACTCAGATCAACATCGGGTGAGACTAGTGATGATGATATACACGGAGATTAAGATCACTCTCAACTACTGGTGTTCAGATATACTCAACATAAGAGGGGTTGTGGTAGTCTGAACACCGGGTCTACGTCCTCACTAGCGACACACACACACACTACTGGCTGATGTTGTGGACTCTACGTTGGCTCAAGGTCCCCACCACCTCGCTTTAGTCAAAGTCTCCCAGGCTGCAGCATCCATTATCCACGTTTATATGACGCCTATCCACGATTGCACGACCCATATCCACGTCTGTATTATGCCTAACAATTTAAAACAACAAATGTCTATTATTCCCTTCAAACTTTGCTTTTTGTGGCCATTTTGTTCATAGAAGTTATAGGCAATATTACTTTTGGAGGGTGGATTATGTTGTCATTGTTCCACATCCACTCTGGTACAGGTGTTTTTAAAAGTGGCAATAACTGTAAAATTACTTAAAATGATTGAAATATCATCTGGTATTCTCAGGACGCTCAGCACTTGTGTATATTTTCTTCTAAAATATACAATTAATATTTATTAATATATAATAATATTTCTTCTAGGATACATAATTAATTATATTTATCCAAAAAGATAAATTTTCAAAATAGCTCCAAATTACCATAACATCCCCAATCACAGACTCTACTAAACTGCTCGTCTAGGGAGACACTTGACCAGGGCATGGGGAAAATAGAGCATCAAGGGAAAAATTATGATCAACTCTCACTGGAGACGAGTTCGTTTAGGGAAATCTCTCTCTCTTTTTCTTGGTTTCCTACTCTCCCTTCCCCTGGCCAAGGAGACTGTCAACATCAGCCGTCTTCCTTCTTAATACGCTTTCTCTGGCCAGGGGGGGACCATTAGCGTTACCCCCTCTTCTCTCCTTTCTAATATGTCGTGGGGACCTTCTTCCTAATATGTCGTGGGGACCTTCTTCCTAATATGTCGTGGGGGACCTTCTTTCTAATATGTCGTGGGGACCTTCTTCCTAAGTTGACGCGGGGGACTTTCTTCCTAACTTGACGCGGGGGACCTTCTTCCTAACTTGATGCGGGGACCTTCTTCCTAACTTGACGCGGGGGACCTTCTTCCTAAGTTGACGCGGGGGACCTTCTTCCTAACTTGATGCGGGGACCTTCTTCCTAACTTGACGCGGGGGACCTTCTTCCTAAGTTGACGCGGGGGACCTTCCTAACATGACGTGGGGACCTTGAGCCCAGCGGGAGGCCCAGCCAAGCAGACCAACAAACACAGGAAGTCTTACCGTCCAGAAACTTTTATTCCTCGGCTGGGGAAGAGGGCAGACAAAACAAAAGAACATCATTAGACACGTCTTCACGAACCTTGTAAGTAAACATGAGGGAGTTATCGGGTGACATGAAGAGGTGACATTACACACGGTGCTTGTCAGTAGACATAGGGCTCGGGCTGACATGAGGAATTGTGAAAATATGGTCACATGAACAGTCACATAATATGTACTTATAAACCTTATGAGTAAACCTACATAGTCCGAGTCAGTTTTTAGCTCTCATGAGTCGTATTGAGTAAACAAGAGAATAATTAAACATGAGGCATGAGATTGGACACGAAGATTCTCAGGAGACATAATTCCTTGAGTAAACCTCAGACACATGACCAAACATACGAGGTTCTGATCAAGCTTGGAGTCCTGAGATAATCTTGTTTACATTACACAACCAGCACACAGCAAGCAGGAAGCCATTCTACATAGCACATGCAGTGGTCAGTAAAGGTTTACAATGCTACTAGTGCACCCCATCCTCATATTCAAAGTCCAAATGCTCATTAAATCCCAGTTTGTAAGTACTGTAATTATCAAAAGAAGGCACCAAGCCGGGGAGGCTATGTAGCACCGTCATATGTGTGGGATATTCAAAAAGGTGCTAAATATCACTAAGGATGCCAATACGAAAAAAAAGCGCATAAGGCGAACAGCATTGAACGTATCCTATTCACCAAGGATTCTATTGAGGGACAAGTGACTGCGAGGGACAGTTGGAGAGCAAGATATATGCTCGTCCAGGAAATCCGGACATTCAACAAGGATATGCACGACCGTAAGAGGGCCAATGCAGTTTGAACAATAAGGAGCAGGGTGGCGCTCCTTTAAGTGTCCGTGAGTTAAACGTGTATGGGCCAATACGTAACCTCGCCAGAGCTGTTTCCCACCCCCGGTTTCGGTGGTAGGAGGAAGGCCACGGGGGACTGCTACCCTTACGAGCATGCAGCTTGTTACCTGTAACAGAAGACTAGTGATCCTGCCAACGGGTATTGATTGAGAAATGAATAACTGGGTAGAAGTTGAAATAAGCAACACCATTGTGGGAAATGGGAGAGTGCAGATAGCCTCCATGGCAGCATCTGGAAATTCATTGAAGAAAACACCAATATGGCTGCGAACCCGGCAAAACTCGGCTGTCTTAAATCTGCTGGAGATAAGAAATGGCCAATATTGAATTTTGATGACCACAGGATGGACAGGATTATAGAACTCCAGAGCCACGAGGGCACTACGAGAGTCGGCACGATGGCGAGAAAGCAGTTGACGAAGAGCATACAAAATTGCATAAAGTTTTGCCGTGACGATGTCAGTCTCCGGAGGCAGGCGACACATATAGGCATAGTTAGGAAATACAATGAAGTAGCTTACACTGATGGCAGATTTAGACCCATCTGTGAAGACGGAGATGGAGTGGGAGTATGAAAAAAAGAGACCAAAGAAAAGAATTTCAGAACTGTAGGAGGGATAAAAGCTTTAGTTATGCAGGTCAAAGTTCTACAAAACTTAAGAAGAGGGACCTTCCATGGGGGGCAAGGATGGAACAACACGAGGAGAAACATTGGTAACATGAACTGAGAGAGAACCTTGCAAGCATACAGAAAGGTGGTGGTGAAAGGGAACAGGGCTCACAAGAGGGGGTAATGGTCAAAGTACAACATAAGCGAGAGTGAGGGTGTTGTAGGGACCGCGCAAAGTAGTGAAGACAGTAGCAATCACGGTGATACCGGTTTCAACATACAGGCTCTGGGTAGGGGTCGAACGAAAGGCACCAGAGCTAAGACGGAGCCCAGTATGGTGGTGAGCATCAAGACGACAAAGGGTGGAGGGAGAGGCAGATGAGTAAGCAGGACAGCTATTATCGAGTTTAGACAGAACGAGAGAGGAATGTAAAGGGAGGAGCATGCGCCTATCAGCTTCCTAGGAAGTATGAGACAAGACCTTACGTAAGTTAAGGGCCTTAGAGCATTCAACTCTGAGGTAAAAGATATGGGGTGACCAAGACAAGTGTCAAAGATTAACTCCAGAAGTTTAGCAGTACCCTTATAAAAGAGAAGATTACCATAAAGCAACAGAGGAGGTCGAAAAACGACCTGCTTCTGAGTAAAGGTCATAGCACAAGTCTTAGCTGAAGAAAACTTGAAGCCATGATTAGTGGCCCAAGACGACATGACATTAATCTCAAGTTGAAGTCATCGTTGTAGGAAAGGCGAGTCATCACCTTGACAGCAGAGGGTAAGATCGTCAACATAAAAAGTAGAGAAAATTTTAGTGGGTAGGGAGGTAAGAAGACTATAGAGGGCAACCAGCTACAGAGTAGTGCTCAGAACACTACCTTGGGATACACCTTCGTATTGCCGAAAAGAGGCAAAGAGTGGGGTACCAAGCCTCACTCGAAAGGAACGACGAGAGGAAGCTTTGGAAGAAGAGTGGGAGATTACCATGAAAGCCAAAAGAACAGAGTTGGGGCAGAATATTGTATCTTCAGGTGGTGTCATATGCCTTTTCCAGGTCAAAAAGGACAGAATCGGCGTCCGTCGGCGACGGTGTTCCTTCCAGGTACACCTTCCAGACTGCATGCTTACTGCAGACAGCCTGAGCACAGTCTGCGTTCCACCAGGGAACGCACTTCCGCATGCCCTGAGAGATAGAGCGAGGAACAGAGTGGAGGGCAGTATAAAAACAGTGTCGTGAAAAAGGATGATGGCTCGGGGGAGAGGCAGATCAGAGAGGTTAGAAAGACTAGTGCGAAAGGTGAAGAGGTTCCAGTCAGCCTTGGCAAACTGCCACCTAGGGAAGGAGAGGAGAGGGTGAAGACAGAAGGTGACAAGGATGGAGAAATGGTCAATGTTATGGAGGTCATCAATAACCCACCAGGTGAAGTCCAAATAAAGAGAAGATGAGCAGAGAGAAAGATCAAGACAGGAAAGGGTGTGAATGCAGGAGTCAACATGAGTGGGTTCACCAGAATTCAGAAGAGACAAAGAAGAGAGGACAAATGGTTCAAGAAGGCAGCCTCAGGTGTTTGTCAGAACAGTTCCCCAGAGGGTATGCTGACATTTAAAATTACCCAAAAGGAGCACAGGCTCTGGTCTAACAGGTGTTTAAGATCAGGAACAGAAAGTGGGAGATTTGGGGGGGGGGGGAGATAAATGGAACAGCCTGGATACCATTTACTCAGATACGGGCCACAGAACACTAGAATGTACGACAAAAAATGAAGTGGGGGGAAGGGAATATCATGACGGATCAAGAGAGAAATAGTTATGAGCCTCATCAAAAGCTGGCGGGGAAGAGAAAAAGGAAAAACCACAGAAGCGATAAGCGCCAAGCATCGGCTCCTGAAGACCAACGTAAAGTGGTGAAAACTGCATAATCAGAAGCTGGAATTCATGGAAGATGGCACAAAAAACAAAAATATTTCATTGAAGAACATACAGACAAAAGAGGGAGAACAGAAACTGATAACAAGGGAGAAACAAAGGCAAAGAACACAGTTGAGTAATTAATATCAGGATCAGTGAAATCGGGTACGAGGCACTGGCAACACTAGCAAAGATAATGGAGGCAAGGGAGGAAGAGGACGGACCAGAGGCGGACTGGCAGTCCAGAGTGGGAGGAGGCATCGGAAAGGGGGCGCTCCAAGGGAATTGGAAGCAGGAAAGACAAAAACAGGAGAGTGCACCGAATCAAGGGCAGCATCCAAGAGAGGATCAAGACCCAAGGTAACCTCTATAGCATGGACAGATGTGACTGCCACTAAACTGGGAAAGGAAGCAGGAATAGTGTTGTAATCGGAAGGTGAGAAATATATTGAAGCCTTCTTTCCCGCCGGGGAGGAAGGAGGAGAGGAGCCAGGCTTACGTTTCTAACATAGGTACGCAGAGACAGGCGTACCATTAGCAATCCGACAGCCTTGACAGTTTCAACAGGAGGAGAACGGGATCAGTCAACATGAACGGACAATGACCCAAACAGACAGGCGACGAGGAGGGCCAAAAGACAGAGGGAAAGGCTGAGAATGAGGAGTGGAGCAAGAAGGGGAAGACGGCACAGGAGCCAAGAAAGACCAGGAAGGAAGGAAACACCAGACAGAGAACTAGGTGGAAGAGCCGCTAGCCCAAAATGCAAATGATCAGGCGAGTAGGTAGTGGAGGTGTCAGGGTCCAAGGCCTGGAAACGGTTGCAAAACTGAGAAAGCAGGAGAGGGCGAGGGGAAGGGGAAAGCAACACACAAGCATAAGACATGCCAGAGAAAGAGGGATGACAGCAAACCTGTCGTCTTGCCTCAGGAAAGGACAAATGATCACAATGTTTCAAATTGAGGATGGCTTCCTCAAATTTGTACTGCACACATACGTGGGTGGGCGTCACCACAATTAATGCAAAGAGCTTGGAAAGAAGGGCACTCTGTCTTAGAATGACCCGAGGTTCCTCACAAGGGGCATAGACACCTCACTTGTGCACCTGAAGAGACCATGCCCAAATCTTCAGCACCTGCATCAAAGGCGAGGAGAGGGAATGTACTACTGAATGGAGCATCTAACACAAGCAAGAATTATGGAAGACAGGAGAGACCAACTATCAAAAGTGAGCTTCACAACGCAAAGAGGCTGATGACCACCACCATGAGGGGGTCGAGTGAACTTGTCTATCTGGAGGATAGAACTTTTGATAATTATTTATTTGGAGGATAGAATGGCCTCAAGGATATATTTAATATCCTCGTGGCAGTCTTTCCAGTTCCCTGTCACCAGTTGCAACATGGTGCTGGAGAAGAACTGTGCCAAATGCTGGCATTCAACCAGGCATTTTTGGAGATCCGAACAGGGGTTCTCCTTAATGCAGGACAACGAAGCCAAGCAGGCAGCTGCTTCCTAAGAAGGGGCTGCAACAACACGTGTACCAGTATGGGTGGGATTAAAAAGTGACAGGGTATCCACCGAATCAACGAGGTGTTTATGGAGGAATAAATCATCAGGACGAGTAGGGTCAACATGCCTGAGATCGAAATACTTAATCCACATAGCAGGACCAAATAAAGCCTGGAAAGTATTAAATTGGGAAGGAATCATGCGAGTGTGGAGGTGACAGTGCCGAGCACACCTGGAAAGAGAAGGGGTAAAAGGCGCAGCTATTACAACGAGAGACGGAGCCACGCCAGGTGATGAGGTGGTCACCACTGGGGTCTCAACCCCGCCACAGAGGTGGGAGGGGAGCACAGAGAGTCAGTCAGAAGAGTCAAAGAAGCAGCTTGGTCATGGTCCAATGTAGCCTTCCAGCACAGTCCAACTCGAGGACCTGGTCGCTCACCCCACGAGTCAGAGAACTTAAAGGAGGGTCAGGAAAAGTCATAAACGAACAGGGAAAACATTCATCCACGAATAACCTCCTATACCCACCATGGAGTCACAATTAGTGGATGGGACACCCGACAAGCTGGGGTTTCCCAGGGGTGCATCATGGATATAGGCTCCTCAATCGTCACCTTAAGACCCGTCAGTCCGTTGAGATTGGCTCAGCAACAAAGGCAAAGTGTGACAATAAGTGTCCCCTCACTCTACAACGTTGGGTACCACAGTTCTACAAGTGAGAGTGCGCCTTCCAAAACACCCGGCGTCAAAACAAAGACGACAATAGAAAGAACATTCAAGAACGCCAAAAAGTCGGCAGGAAGGGAACAACTTGAAAAGAGAAGAGGTGGGGAGCAAAAACGAAACATAAGAAAGGAAAAAGCTACCAGAAAAATTGGAGAAGACAGCAGCAGGAGCATAAGTAGACAAGAGGCAAGCATCTAGACAACACAAACGTAGCAGGTTTAGGCGAAACTTACGGGTAATCTTGCTTGTAATCTTACTTGAGATAATAAAAGACTAAGCTGAACCTCTGGTTGGCCACTTTATAAAGACCCGTAAGAGATTTGTCTTACAGCATGTTTCCCTTGCATATTTCCAAGCCTAAAAGCTTGATTTAAGTACGTTGTAACAAATCATGCAATGGATTTGTGCGCGGTAGTGTGGCTGAGAGATGCGAAGTGTGTCCTTGCAACACAGTGACTTTATGGATACAGTATGTTGTTTCATGTGTGTGGCCGAGAGATGCGAACACAACACTTTTAGCATATAAAACCACTCGTTGCAATAGAGTGGTTTTAGATGGTGAGTGTGTTGATGTTATAGAGGGCACTTGGAGAGCTGTTTAAGTAGGGGAAAGGTGTGTGTGTGTGAAGATGTGTGGTAGTTCCTGTGGTGGTGGGTAGTTCACAATGGTCGTGGTGTAGGCAGAGCGAGGGCGCAGAGCGAGCGTGAGGGGGGCGCAGAGCGAGCGTGAGGGGGGCGCAGAGCGAGCGTGAGGGGGGCGCAGAGCGAGCGTGAGGGGGGCGCAGAGCGAGCGTGAGGGGGGCGCAGAGCGAGCGTGAAGGGGGGCGCAGAGCGAGCGTGAGGGGGGGCGCAGAGCGAGCGTGAGGGGGGGCGCAGAGCGAGCGTGAGGGGGGCCGCAGAGCGAGCGTGAGGGGGGGCGCAGAGCGAGCGTGAGGGGGGGGGCGCAGAGCGAGCGTGAGGGCCGTAGAGCGAGCGTGAGGGCCGTAGAGCGAGCGTGAGGGCCGTAGAGCGAGCGTGAGGGCCGTAGAGCGAGCGTGAGGGCCGTAGAGCGAGCGTGAGGGCCGTAGAGCGAGCGTGAGGGCCGTAGAGCGAGCGTGAGCGGGCGCAGAGCGAGCGTGAGCGGGCGCAGAGCGAGCGTGAGGGCGCAGAGCGTGCGTGAGGGCGCAGAGCGTGCGTGAGGGCGCAGAGCGAGCGTGAGGGCGCAGAGCGTGCGTGAGGGCGCAGAGCGTGCGTGAGGGCGCAGAGCGTGCGTGAGGGCGCAGAGCGAGCGTGAGGGCGCAGAGCGAGCGTGAGGGCGCAGAGCGAGGGCATAGAGCGAGTGAGGGGGCATAGAGCGAGTGTGAGGGGGCATAGAGTGAATGTGAGGGGGCATAGAGCGAGTGTGAGGGGGCATAGAGTGAATGTGAGGGCGTAGAGGGACTCACCTTCATGATCAGGTCATCGTCGTGCAGCTTATTGGTGTACATTACGCGCCCCGCCTGCCAGTCCTCCATCACGTTCTTCACCTCCTCCCGCTCCGGGTCAATGAGTCGCACCGCCGTCACGTTCGAACCCCCGTACTTGAAGTCCTCCAGGTTTACCAGGTGCAGGTCCTGGGGGAGAGAGGGACAGTCACCAGGTGCAGGTCCTGAGGGAGAGAGGGACAGTCCCAGGTGCAGGTCCTGGGGGAGAGAGGGACAGTCACCAGGTGCAGGTCCTGAGGGAGAGAGGGACAGTCCCAGGTGCAGGTCCTGGGGGAGACAGGGACGGTCACCAGGTGCAGGTCCTTGGGGAGAGAGGGACAGTCACCAGGTGTAGGTCCTGGGGGAGAGGGGGGACAGTCACCAGGTGCAGGTCCTGGGGGAGAGGGGGACAGTCCCAGGTGCAGGTCCTGGGGGAGAGGGGGACGGTCACCAGGTGCAGGTCCTGGGGGAGAGAAGGACAGTCACCAGGTGCAGGTCCTGGGGGAGAGAGGGACAGTCACCAGGTGTAGGTCCTGGGGGAGAGGGGGGACAGTCACCAGGTGCAGGTCCTGGGGGAGAGGGGGACAGTCACCAGGTGCAGGTCCTGGGGGAGAGGGGGACAGTCACCAGGTGCAGGTCCTGGGGGAGAGAGGGACAGTCACCAGGTGCAGGTCCTGGGGGAGAGGGGGACAGTCACCAGGTGCAGGTCCTGGGGGAGAGGGGGACAGTAAGTAAGTAATTATCAAAAGAAGGCACCAAACCGGGAAGGCTATGTAGCACCATCAAATGCGCAAAATAATCAGAGGGCGCTAAATATCACCAAGGATGCCAATACGAGAACAAAAACGCATAAGGCGAATGATATCAAAAGTATCCGAGTCACCAAGAATTCTATCGAGGGACAGGTGACCGCGAGGGGCGGTCGGAAAGCAAGACACACGCTCGTCCTGGAAGTCAGGACATTCAAGAAGGACATGCACGACCGTAAGAGGGACAATGCAACTAGGACAATAAGGAGCAGGGCGGCGCTCCATCAAGTGACCATGGGTTAAGCGAGTATGGCCAATACGCAACCTCGCCAGAGCTGTTTCCCACCGCCGGTTACGGTGGAAGGAGGACGGCCACGAGGAAACACAACATTTAAGAGTACGTAGCTTGTTACCAGTAACAGACAACCAAGAAGCCTGCCAACGGGTAAGGACTGAGGAATGGATAACCGGGTAAAAGTCGGAATACGGAATGCCTTTACGAGAGATGGGACAAGAGCGGACAGCTTCCTTGGCGGCAGCATCCGCACGCTCATTTAAAGACACACCAATATGGCTGGGAACCCAACAAAACTCAACCGACTTAAATTTACTGTGAACAAGAAACAGCCAATGCTGGATCTCGACAACTACTGGATGAACCGGATTAAAGGACCCGAGAGCCATGAGGGCACTACGAGAGTCAACAACAACTACAAAGGAAGACTGACAACGAGAAAGCAGGAGACGAAGAGCATAGAGAATAGCATAAAGTTCCGCTGTAAAGATGCTAGTCTCCGGAGGCAAGCGACACATATAAGTGCGATCAGGAAAAACAACAGAGTAGCCAACACCGTCCGCTGACTTAGACCCATCGGTGAAGACAGAAACGGAGCGGGAGTGAGAAGAAAAGTGCTCGAGGAAAAGGCGTTTTAGAACCGTAGGAGGGGTAAAAGCTTTAGTGATACGGGTCAAGGATGTACAAAACCGCGGAAGAGGGACCCTCCACGGGGGCAAAGAAGGAACAACACGAGGAGAAACATCAGAAATACGAACGGAAAGAGAATCCTGTAGGCGAGATAACCGGACAGAAAGAGGGAGGTGGTGAAGAGGAACAGGAACCGCAGGAGGGGTAAAAGTTAAAGCACGACAGAGGCGAGAGGAAGGATGTTGCAAGGACCGCGCAAGATAGCGAAGACAGTAGCGATCACGGCGGTCCTGGAGAGACAGGAAGCCAGTGTCAACATACAAGCTAAGGATGGGAGTCGAACGAAAGGCACCAGAACTGAGGCGCAACCCAGTATGGTGCAAAGCATCAAGACGGCGAAGAGTAGAAGGAGAAGCAGACGAGTAAGCAGGGCAACCATAATCGAGCTTAGACAGGACGAGAGAGGAATGTAAAGCAAGGAGAGTGCGCCTATCTGCCCCCCAAGAAGTATGGGACAAGACCCGAAGGAGGGTAAGGGCCTTAGAGCACTCAACACGGAGGTAAGAGATATGGGGAGACCAAGACAAACGAGTGTCAAGGAATAACCCCAAAAGCTTCGCGGAATCTTTGTATTCAAGGGGATGACCATAAAGTGACAAAGAGGGACGAAGAACAACCCGTTTCCGCGTAAAAGTCATGGCACAAGTCTTAGAAGTAGAGAACTTGAAGCCATGATCGGTGGCCCAAGACGACACGGCATCAATTGCAAGTTGAAGCCGGCGCTGAAGGAGAGGCGAATCATCACCCTGACAGCAAAGGGTAAGATCATCGACATAGAGGGCGGAGAAGACACCAGAAGGAAGAGAGGAAAGAAGACCATTGAGGGCAACCAGAAAAAGAGTAGTGCTCAGAACACTACCCTGGGGCACACCTTCGTATTGCTGAAAAGAGGCAGAGAGAGCGGTACCAAGGCGCACCCGAAAGGAACGACGAGAGAGGAAGCTGCGGAGAAAGAGAGGGAGATGACCACGAAGGCCAAAAGAATGAAGTTGAGATAGGATATGATAACGCCAAGTGGTGTCGTAAGCCTTTTCCAGGTCAAAAAGGACGGCAACAACGGAGGTCTTCGCAGCAAAAGCAGTACGAATATAGACCTCCAAGTTCACCAGGACATCTGTCGTGCTGCGGCACTTGCGGAAACCAAATTGAGAAGGGGAGAGGAGGTGATGGTGTTCCAGGAACCACATCAGACGAACGTTAACCATACGTTCAAAGAGTTTGCAGACACAACTTGTGAGAGCAATAGGGCGAAAGTCCTTAGGGGAAGTACCCAGAGACCCCGGTTTGCGAACAGGGAGGACAACGGCATCGAGCCAGTCCTCAGGGACTGACGACGACTCCCAGATCCGATTATACAGACTCAGTAAATACTGAGACGTGCACGGAGGGAGATGGCGAAGCATCTCATAATGAATACCATCGGAGCCCGCCGCCGTAGAACCGCAGAGGGCCAGGGCAGAACGAAGTTCAGAGAGAGAGAAGGGATCATTATAGGGAAGCTGAAGATGAGTGCAGAAATCTAAAGGACGAGACTCAAGGACAGGTTTACGAAGAAGGAAAGATTGGGGAAGATGAAGACCAGAGCTAACAGAAGAAAAGTGGGAACCCAGTTCGGAAGCGACCTGCAACGGGTCCGCCACAAGAGTATCATGGAGGTGAAGGACCGGTGAAACATCGGGAACGAACTTACCCGCTATCTTGCGGATACGCTTCCAGATCTGGGTCAGAGGGGTTTCGGACGTAATTGTTGAGACATAAGATGCCCAACATTCACGTTTAGCCGTACGGATGGCCCTACGGGCCACCGCACTCGCTTTCTGAAAGAAAAGAAAAGAATCGGTCGTCTGCCTACGGCGGTGCCTCTTCCAGGCTGCACGCTTACAGCGGACAGCCCGAGCACAGTCCGCATTCCACCAGGGAACGCACTTCCGTGGACCCCGAGAGGAAGAGCGAGGAATAGAGCGGAGGGCAGCGTTGAAGACAGTGTCATGAAAAAGGAGGAGAGCGCGAGAGAGAGGCAGAAGGGAGAGGTCAGAGAGAGCAGCACTGAGGGTAAATAGGGTCCAGTCCGCCTTAGCAAACTGCCACCTAGGGAAAGAGAGGGAAGGGCGAAAAGAGAAAAAGGAAACAAGGATGGGGAAATGATCACTTCCATGGAGGTCATCAAGAACCTGCCACGTGAAATCTAAGTAAAGAGAAGAAGAGCAGAGAGAAAGATCAAGACAAGAAAGGGTGCGAGTCCGAGAGTCCAAATGAGTGGGCTCACCAGAATTCAGAAGAGACAGGGAAGAAGAGAGGAGAAACGGCTCAAGAAGGCGACCCCGGGTATTCGTCAGAACGTCACCCCAAAGAGAATGACGACAATTGAAGTCACCCAGCAGGAGCACAGGCTCCGGCAAGGAGTCTAGGAGGTGTTTCAAATCAGGAAGAGAGAGCGGGACACTCGGGGGGAGATAAATGGAACAAACTGTGTACCATTTCCCCACAAAGACACGAGCAGCAGAACAATGGAGAGGCGAAGGAAAAAGTAAAGGAACAAAGGGAACATCAGCACGAATCAAGAGAGCAGAAGAATTAGAAGCCCCAGCAACGGCTGGGGGGGGGGGGAGAGAAAGGAATAGCCACGAAAACGACCAGGACGAGCACCAAGCATCGGCTCCTGGAGACAGACACAAAGGGGCGAAAACCGCGAAATCAGAAGTTGGAGTTCGAGGAAATTGGCGTAATAACCTCGAACGTTCCATTGAAGAATGGACAACGACGAGAAGAGAAAGGACAAAAACAGAGAACAAGGAAGAAACAAAGGCGAAAGAGCAACAGAGTACGTTAAAGAATATCAGGGTCGGGATCAGGGTCAGCAAAGTCAGGGTTAGGGGGCATGGGTAAACTGAGCAAAGACGGAGGGAAGGAAACGGGAGAACAGATCAGAGGTGGGTGGGCGGGGTCCGGAGGAGGAGGAGAAGGAGGAAGAGGAGGAGACAACGGAGAGGAGCAGTCAAGGACAGCAGCAGGAAGAGGGGGAGTAGAAAGAGGGGAGCGCACCCCAGCAAGAGCAGCAACCGAAAGGGAAGCAGAGGCCAAAGAAACCTCCATAGCAGGAACAGGGGGCGCAATCACTGAAACGGGAGGGGAAGGAGCAACAGAGCCAGAAGTAGGAGCTGAGGAAGAAAGCGAAGCCTTCTTACCTGCCGGGGAGGAGGAAGGAGAGGAGCCAGGCTTACGCTTCTGACTTAAAGAGACTGGTGTCCCAGCAACTACGTACCGGGCAACGGATTCCAGTGTCTCAACAGGAGAAGCTGAACGAGAGCACACACGACGGCCGTTAGGAGAGCGATGGACATCCGCCTGCACCGACAGGCGGCGGGGAGAGCCGATAGATGGAGGAAGAGGACGGGAAGGAGGATCGGAGGGGGACG